AGGGTAATTCATATCACCTATGACCACAACATCCTTTGTACGCACGGCCTCCCCAACCTGCCTGGAAAATTCCTGATCCAGCTCTTCCTCCTGATGTGGTGGCCTGTAGTAAACCCCTACCACCAGATCCCTCTCCCCCCCGCCCTCCTTGAAGTTTGACCCACAGGGTCTCAGTTAAGTCTAGTCTGGATCCTCTAGTCTGACCTTCTCTATAACACCAGCCAGAGAACTGTATTTATTCAGTGGACGTGTCTATACGAGACTCCACAAGCACAGTAGACTAATTCTACTATGCATTAGCGTGACAGGCAAAACTCATACTAATGCACAGTAGAATTAGTCTACTGTGCATTAGTGTCATCAAAAAAGCGTGCGCAAGCGCTAATGCACAGTAGCACAAATTACAGTGCATTGTTAGTACCTGTATTTATGTGAATACTTGAATAATGAACATGTAGACACACCCACTTTCTCCTGTACTGAGCCCAATAACTGTTTTTTAAAATTTATGTTACAAGTCTAGATTCTTGGAAATAGAGCGCCAAAATATGCCAACTGCTTTCACAAATGAGTTCATATGGAATAGCAGACACAGAAGAGGCCTTTATATGCCCAGCTAAGAGCCAAAAAAAAAAAGTGTATCAGGCTGAGTAACTGAACCTGGATCTCTCATGCAAAGTTTGAGACAAGGACAAAATGTCTTCTGATACAAAAAAACCATACGGATTTAATTTTTATCTATGACTTTAGTCATTGTGTCCTACCTGATGGGCTTGTTGCAGAAGCTCCATCCTCTCCTGAAGAATCTGACAGTCATATTCTCTGCTTTTTCTCAGCATCTGCCGTCTTAACTTCTCCACAGCTGTCCTCAGCTCTTCCTGTTGTTTTTCTGTTAGTAGTTCCCCAAACTTTATCACCGTTTCTTGCTGTAAAGCATTGTATAAGGTGGCTTCAAGCTCCTGGATTCTCTAGTCGATGTAACATCAAAAGTTGATTAGAGACAAGCTATCTTATCAAATACAAGTGGGAATTCTTCTTTTTGGTCAGAGCTAACAAGACTTCTACAAAAGAAGATCGTGAAGTGTGTGCCACACAGAAAAGCATAACAGGACAAGTGATCCTGAAAAATATCCAGGCTTTGCTTCTATGGAATTTCAGTGACAACTTTCACTGAAATTTCCAATTTTGATGTTTCAAGCAGAGCTGGGATGGAATGGTAATGCATATTTTGACCTGAGTATTTGGTTGTTTTAATTACAATTGGAAATATTGATGAAAACTCCATCAACTTTCCAAAAGGGGACATTTTTTACCCACTTTTAAATTGTGCCCCCAGGTCAAAGACCAGCACATCATGATCCACATTTTTCTTGCAAACCTTAATCCTGCTAATCAACTTGTGCAATCATTGGTAAAGGGTTGGGTAGCTCTGCACTGCTTGCTCATGACTTTCTAAACATAAACAATTCAAATTTGCATACTACAGGTATGACAGCTAAGTAGTATGGGCTTTGCTGTGCCAGCACGTCACCAATAAAATTGATCAAAATATGCAATGTTATCTTGCTAAACAGGCTATTTTAAGATTCTGGCACGTGACTAGTTTCAGTGGTTAATACTGACTCCATTGGGAAGGGTGATACCACTGAATAGGTATTTGTAACTCAAAGAAGATTTTCTGTTATGGGGTATTTTGCCGTTTTCAGATGTGAAGAGGCCAGAGCTATATTGTGCCTGCACAGAATGCACTTTGGGGTTTGGCAGAGTGGAGAAAAGCAACTTTAACATGTTAGGAAGAATGAGCAAGACCTCCTATCCTGCTGTACCAATAGAAATCTGTGTCCTCTTTTGGTATTAGCCAACATGTGCTGTAGCTATTTTCTTTGTACATACCATATATGCTTGGTCAAGAGCTTGCTTCCTGTAGTCTAATTCTTCCTCCAAATAACCTTTTATTTTGCAAAACTGCTCCTATAGGGCAGGATCATTTTGACAGAAAAAAATGAATTAGTTACTCCAAAGGCTGTGGGAAATATTTGTTGATCAAGTACAGATGTCTAATGGGGACAGGAATACATGAAATCCATCAGTAATGGAGTCTTTGCAGGGTTGTAAATACTTGAATCCTATGTAACAAAGCACGAAGGAAAAACAAGTGTGGCTCCTTTGTTATTATGGTACACCTAAAATGTGCTATAATGTACTCTTTAGCAACTCCTAGGTGTCTTTGGTGTCCTTAGTGGAACTGATTGGAATTACATCCATGTAATTTAAGCCTCATCTTCATATGGAGTTATTCTAGGATACCTCGTCTGGAATAAATAATCCTGAACAACTCCAGGCTTGGACATTCTTTTTCCAGAATAAATGAGAAAGTGAATTAAACTTAAAACAGTAACAAGACTCAAGTGTGTCTACATTGTAGAGTTATTCTGGAATAGCCATTGAGTTTTAAATCACACCGTACCTCAGTTTGAATTAATTTTGAGTGTATACAAACCTGAGGTGCAGAATCTGAACCACTTTGATTTTTCTGTATTACATTAAAGCGTGTTCATTTTCAGGCACATTACTTCCAGTTAAGGAGGAGAAAAATGAGATCAAAAAGTAACTTCACTTTATTAAACTCAATGTGGCTAGGAATGTCTTGCCCTTAGAATGTTGAGGGCTTAAATCATGTTGAAAGAAAATAATGTTATCATTAATTTTTTTCCTCTTATTGATGCATGCAGTAAAAGCCTTCACAATATTTAGGCTGTGAATGCTATGCAGCAATGAATGCGTGTTTAAAATGTCAGAAAAGCACCCAGAAACTTTTGGACTCCATATATGCAACAGCAACAAACAATCAACACCACAAAGGGCAAGAATTTGAAAACAGGATCAGCGATGGCAGTCAAGTTCATTTATATAATAACAAACCAAAAAAACCCAGCAACCCCCCCAACCCATTTCACCCTGCCACATTATGAAATGCCAAACAAAGTTGTAGCAGCAAGCATTTTAAGGATTCACAGAAATCAGGCAGATTTAATTATCTTTACTTAGCAAGACATCTTTTTTCCTAACCCACAGAGGCATCAAATAATTTGCCATTTCCAGTGAATTGTCATGTTAAGACATTTGCTTACCATGTCACTTTCCAGTTCTATCATCTTCTGGTGCAGAGCAGCTTCAGCTCCTTCAATTTGCTGGATCCACTAGAGGGCACACAACACAGAGATGTGACCCACAGCATGTTCAGCTAACATGTCTAATTCCAAATACAGCACAGGGGCCCCATCAGACAGTTTATGTGAATTCAGTAACCTGAACACCCAATCCTGGTCCTCACTAAGCCTGTGCTCCATTAGCAGAGAATAATTTGAAAGCTGGCTTGGCTGACTACCCTGAGTGCCATAAAGCTGGCTATTGTCTCTGCCATCTTTCCTTTGATCCTCACTTGACTTAAACTGTGAAAATGAATCATAATTGGCTGAGATTTGCAAAACAAGGTAGGTGATCTAGACACACCGTACCAATTTCAATGGGAGCTACATCTTTTAATGGGCTTTGAAAGCCTCGTGTCCACTGCTGGCTTCATCTTGTATGGTTGACTGGTTTTGTGTCTACTATAGTTCTTCTAAATGTGTACCATAGGCCATATCTACACTGCTTTTAGAGCAATGTCAGTTAGCAAGGTGATTGTCTTTCAATTTCTGTAGCAGCTTAAGCCCTAAGGTACATGCAATAATACCAGCAAAATCTACTATTGAAGATACAGCATAATTCATTTGGGGAAATGGTATTAATTGTGTCAGGAAAGGCAATCTCTTGATGGTGTGAGATGAGTCTACAAAATGCAGTCTGATGCTATAGCTGAACTAGTACAGTGCAGTCCTTATTAATTCTTGAGAGAAAAGTAACACAAATTATACCTTTTCTGCCAGAGATAGTACAGTACTCGCTTGAATTATGGCCACTTGCTCTTCATTTCTTAAATTCTGTAAATGGAAGAAAAAAAGGCAAATCAGGTGACATCCTTTTTTCAAAAATATGTATTATTTTAGAAGAAAATCTTCCTAAGTTCCATTCTCACCCTGCATTTAACATAGAATTAACAGAGCAAAATAACAGAAGTAGTAGAAACTGGCTGCATCTACATGAAATGCTGACTGCGCTGTTGTTACTATGCAGTCATTTACTACTTGTTTAAACAAGTAGTGCCAAAAATGCCTTTTTGTGATGCTAATGTGCAGTAACCTAATACTACTTTGCAGTCACAGTTTTTGCCATGCAACACTAC